TCTGGACGACTCCGCAGCGAAGGAGGTCGTCTGGACGACCGAAATGATCAATCAAAATCGGCGACAGGCAGAGAAAAGATCACTGAGAGTTTCTAGCTACGGGAAAAATGCTACCCAAAGTTTTTACCAGGCATTGGATACGCACCCAGTGAAAGGGAAATCGGTGCTGGTGGTGGGAAGTTAGTTGCCTTGGCTTGAGGCGATTCTCTTGGCGTATAAGGCTGGGTCGATCACGACCGCTGATTTCAATAAACCGGTTGTAGATTATCCTGGATTGAGGCTGTGGAATATTGCTGAGCTGGACGCTTCAGATGAGACCTTTGACGTGGTAGCTTCGTATTCGTCGCTGGAGCACGATGGGCTGGGGAGATATGGCGATCCGCTGAACCCGGATGGGGATCTGCAGAGAATGGCGAAGGTAATTTTTCTGAGGTGGTTGATGCTGTTGGCTGGGTGCGGTTTCCATGGTATGGCATCTGCAGAATGGGGATCTGGTAGAGAATGGCGAAGGTAATTCTGCTGAGGTGGTTGATGCTGTGGGCTGGGTGCGGTTTCCATGGTATGGCATCTGCAGAATGGGGATCTGCAGAGAATGGCGAAGGTAGTTTTGCTGAGGTGATTGTTACTGAGGGGTGCGGCTTCCGCGGCATGGTATGGGTTCTCTCCCTCCCTGCTAAAGTTAACTGGTGCGTGCCTGTCCTTACCATGCTTTGTTACCCCCATCAATCCTGTTACCCCCATCAATCCTATTACCCCCATCAATCCTGTTGCCCCCATCAATCCTGTTGCCCCCATCAATCCTGTTACCCCCATCAATCATGTTACCCCCATCAAGCCATCTCCCCTCACATCATTCTACGTCTTACCTTTTGCCGCGATGTCCTCTACCATCTCCTCCGCTTCTACCATCTCCTCCGCTTCTACCATCTCCTCCGCTTCTACCATCTCCTCCGCTTCTACCATCTCCTCCGCTTCTACCATCTCCTCCGCTTCTACCATCTCCTCCGCTTCTACCATCTCCTCCGCTTCTACCATCTCCTCTGTCAAATGTTATATCTGCTATATATGTTTAGGCTGTAGTGAGGTAGCTAATATGGGGTACAGCCCACTTTAGGGTTTCATATTTGTACCCAACTCTTTCATAGTTCAATCATTCCTGCTACTAGATTCTGACATGGTTTCTGAGCACTAGGTCCGTAGGACCGTCTTTTTTTCGGGCCTACCTACCGTTGCGGTTACCGCGCCACCCCACGTGTTGTACTGCACCTGCTTGCCTGCTTGCCTGCCTGCCTGCCCTGCCTTGTGACGTGCTGCGCTGCACGCGCCGTCCTGCAGCCCTCGCGCTGCCTCCTGCTGCCCTAGGCCAGCGCGCCGCCCCTGCAGGCCCGTAAGGCCAGCGCGCCGCCCCTGCAGGCTCGTAAGGCTCACGCGCCGCTCCTACAGGCCTGTCAGGCCCACGAGCTGCCCCTGCAGGCCCGACATGCCCGCGAGCCGCCCCTGCAGGCCCGTCAGGCCAGACCGCGGCCCCGCCCTGCCTCTAACGCGGCCGCGCCCAGCCTCTGACGCGGCCCCGCCCTGCCTTCGACGCGGCCGCGCCCTGCAGCCGACGCGGCCCCGCCCTGCCTCTGACGCGTCCGCGCCTTGCCTCTGACGCGGCCGCGCCCTGCAGCCGACGCGGCCCCGCACTGCCTCTGACGCGGCCGCGCCCAGCCTCTGACGCGGCCGCGCCCTACCTTCGACGCGGCCGCGCCCTACCTTCGACGCGGCCGCGCCCTACCTTCGATGCGTCCGCGCCCTGCCTTCGACGCGGCCGCGCCCTGCAGCCGACGCGGCCCCGCCCTGCATCTGACGTGGCCGCGCCTTGCCTCTGACGCGGCCGTGCCCTGCAGCCGACGCTGCCCCGCACTGCCTCTGACGCGGCCGCGCCCAGCCTCTGACGCGGCCGCGCCCTACCTTTGACGCGGCCGCGCCCTGCCTTCGACGCGGCCGCGCCCTGCAGCCGACGCGGCCGCGCCTTGCCTCTGACGCGGCCGCGCCCTGCAGCCGACGCGACCCCGCCCTGCCTCTGACACGGCCGCGCCCTGCCTCTGACGCGGCCGCGCCCTGCAGCCGACGCGCCCTGGTGCAGCCGCCCCTGGACCCTCGAGCAGCCGCCCCTGGCCCCTGCAGCAGCCGCCTCTGGTGCAGCCGCCCCTGGACCCTTGAGCAACCGCCCCTGGACCCAGAGCAGCCGCCCCTGGCCCCTGAAGCAGCCGCCCCTGGTGCAGCCGCCCCTGGACTCCGTGCAGCCGCCCCTGGACCCCGCGACGCCGCCCCTGGACCCGCGACGTCGCCCCTGGACCCCGTGCAGCCGCCCGCCGAGCGCCGGCCCTGCTCGCCCGGCGAGCGCCTGCTCTTCCCGCCACTGGTGAGCACCTGCCTTGTTAGCGCACTGCCTGCCTGCCATCCTGCCTGCCTGCTTGCCAGCCTACCTGCCTGCCTGCCTGTCTGCCTGCCTGCCTGCCTGCCTACCTGCCTGCCGCGCCTGCCCTGCCCGCGCTGCTGCTGCTACTACTGCCACTACCACTGCTACTGCTGCTACTGGCGGTGGCCAGATGCAGCTCCAGTGACGTCCGCGCGAGTCTCTCACGCCCCAGCAGCTTCGTGAGTGGTACGCTAGTTGGGGTTGTGGCGGTAGCCGTCGTGGCTGTCGCCCTGGAGCTGGTCAGTCGGGAGCGTCTGGCAGTGGCCAGCTGCAGCTGCAGCGGCGTCCGCGCGAGACACTTACGCCCCAGCAGCTTCGTGAGTGGTACGCTCAGAGTAGAGGGTCTTTGAGTACCGTTCGCTGCCCGTACGTCATTCGCACAGGTCATCGGACTGGTCAGGCTTGCGGGACGCTTAGTCACACACAGTCTCGTTGCTTCGCCCGTCTGAGCGACGCCTGGCGTACCGAGTTTGGCGACGAGGCTGAGCTCCCCGACTGGGTGGAGCTGCTTGGGCAGAGGGTAGATATATTTGCTCTTGACTATGATGCTATTCTCACTGCCATGTATGCATTGCCTACTAGTGCTGACCGTGCCTGTTACCTGTGCGTACCGCCTGACCCAGGTATAGAGCCTGCTGCTCTCAGTGCTGGTGAGGCTGCTGATCTATGTGCTCGTGCGTCGCCTGCTCTAGGTGCTGGTGAGGCTGCTGCTCTAGGTGCTAGTGCGTCTCCTGCTCTGGGTGCTGGTGAGGCTGCTGCTCCAGGTGCTGGTGAGTCTGCTCTCTCTGGTACTGCGCCTGCTGAGGCCTTGTACACCTTCACACTTGACTCTGGTGCTTCTCGCTCCTTCTTTCGCGACAGCACCACCCTCACGCCGCTCAGTCGGCCGGTTGCAGTCTCCCTGGCAGACCCCTCTGGTGGTCCAGTCAGTGCGACCTCCACCACTGTCCTCCCTTGTCCTGCTGTCCTGTCCGGCACACTGTCGGGTCTTTACCTCCCCTCGTTCTCTACGAACTTGGTGGTGGGTTCTGCGCTCCAGGACGCGGGTGTTCACCAGTTCATCCCTGCCTACGAGCGTGTGACACATTGCACGTGTGCTCAGACGGGTCGTCACCTGGCTACCTTCATCAGGCAGCCGGGGTCGGGCCTGTACACACTGACCACTGAGTCCCCTCAGGTAGCTGCGTCTACGTCTGCGTCAGGTCAGTTGTCGGCCCCCTGCTCGTGTCGCGCCTTGTCGCACCAGACCCTCCTTTGGCACCACCGCCTTGGTCACCCCTCGGTGCAGCGCCTTCGCAGCATGCACCGCCGTGTCCTTGTCTCTGGTCTTCCCAGGGTTCTCCCTCCCCTCCCACCCTCGCCTGCTCCTCCCTGTCTTCCCTGTGTCGAGGGGCGGCAGCGCGCCGCTCCTCACTCCTCCTCGTTCCCTCCCACAGAGGCTCCCCTGCAGACTCTCCACCTGGACGTGTGGGGCCCAGCCCGCGTCCGTGGACAGGGCCACGAGCGGTACATCCTGCTGGTCGTCGACGACTACACGCGCTACACCACGATCTTCCCCTTGCGCACCAAGGGTGAGGTCCCTGATGTTTTGATCACTTGGATCCGCGCTGCTCGTCTCCAGCTCCGCGAGCGGTTCCAGTCGGACTTTCCTGTCCTGCGTCTGCACTCTGACAGAGGTGGGGAGTTTTCCTCCGACCTCTTGGCAGCCTTCTGTGCGGAGCACGGCATCCGCCAGACGTTCACGCTTCCGGCCTCTCCGCAGCAGAATGGGGTTGCTGAGCGCCGCATTGGCTTAGTCATGGAGGTCGCTCGTACCTCCATGATCCATGCGGCTGCCCCCCATTTTCTGTGGCCGTTTGCGGTCCGGTACGCCGCGCATCAGCTCAACCTCTGGCCCCGTGTCTCCTTGCCGGAGACCTCGCCTACACTGCTGTGGACGGGGAAGGTTGGCGATGCGTCGCGTTTCCAGGTCTGGGGTACTCGTGCCTTTGTCCGCGATACCACCGCGGACAAGCTCTCCGCCTGCGCTGTTCCCTGTGTCTTCCTTGGCTTTGTCCCTGACGCGCCTGGTTGGCAGTTTTACCACCCCACCTCGCGCCGTGTCTTCCCCTCCCATGACGTCACGTTCGACGAGTCGGTTCCCTTTTACCGTCTCTTCCCCTACCGCACTGCCCCTCTCCCCCCCCCGCCGCTCTTCCTCGCTCCAGGTGCTCCCCAGGTAGACCCCCTCCCCGCTCCCGGTCCTGCTCCTTCAGGTGTGTCTCAGGTCGACCCTCCTCCCTTGACTGCGCCGGTTGAGGTCACTGGTGACTCAGGTCCTGCTGAGGGTGGTCCTGCTCGGGGTACTGCTTCTGGGGGTGCTTCTGAGGGTGTTACCCCCATCAATCCTGTTACCCGCATCAATCCTATTACCCCCATCAATCCTGTTGCCCCCATCAATCCTGTTACCCCCATCAATCCTATTACCCCCATCAATCATGTTACCCCCATCAAGCCATCTCCCCTCACATCATTCTACGTCTTACCTTTTGCCGCGATGTCCTCTAACATCTCCTCCGCTTCTACCATCTCCTCCGCTTCTACCATCTCCTCCGCTTTTACCATCTCCTCCGCTTCTGCCATCTCCTCCGCTTCTGCCAACTTAGCCACCTCGAAAGTTTTCATTGCTTCCTGCCATCCCTCCCCGACCGTATGCTCCCAAAGCTCATAGCCCATGTGATGTCATTTGCCATGTCATTTGCCATGTCATTTGCCCTGTCATTTGGCATGTCATTTGCCGTGTCATGTTCCATGTCCTTTGCCATGTCATTTGCCATATCCCAAGTAATTTGCCATGTGATTTGCCTTGTGAATTGCCATGTCCATATGCCACGTGATTTGCCATGTCATTTGCCATGTCATTTGCCATGTGATATGCCTTGTGAATTGCCATGTCCTCTGACATCTCTACCGCTTGCAGCTGTGCAGAACGAGGGCCTTCCAAATCCTCAAGAACACTTCTTCCTGGGTGCCCCAGTGGGCAACGGCACACTGGTCTTCAATACTCAACGCATGCACCATCTTCTTACATCTCTTCCATTCCCATTCCCCTGGCATCTCCCCCATTCCCTGTCCTCCCCTCCTCCCCTTCCCCGTTGCGCAGATCAGGGGTCTGTTGAAGCCAGGAGGGCTCCTCTTCCTGGGGCTCCCAGTGGGCAACAACAAGCTGGGGTTTGATACTGAGAGCATGTAGCATAATCTCACCTCTCGCATTCCCATCCCCTGCTATCCCCTCCTCCCCTTTGTGCCTGTGCAGATCAGGGGTCTCTTGAAGCCAGGCGGCCTCTTCTTCCTGGGCCTCCCAGTGGGCAACGACACGCTGGTGTTCAATGCAATTCACATCACATGTCCTATAATCTCGCGTCTTCCCATGCATTCGCATTCCCTTGCATCCCCTCCTCCCATTTGCTGCTGCGCAGATCAGGAGTCTCTTGAAGCCAGGCGGACTCTTCTTCCTGGGGCTCCCAGTGGGCAACGACACGCTGGTGTTCAATGCGCATCGGGTGTACGGTCCCATCCGCATACCGCTGCTGCTCGACGGCGGGAAGCTGCTGGACGTGTTTGGGGTGTCCAGTCTCGAAGCAGCTTGTAGGGAGAACCTGGATAGGGCCAACATACAGCCTGTCATGGTATTGACATATACTTCTTAGGACGCGTCACATTTGTCACACTGTACAGTAAGGATCGATGTGCAGGGTGTACACTGTACAGTAACTTTGCCAATTCGGGTATGGCTATGCATCCCTGTTTCGCCTTCTTTAATTAAAAGTATCCGATCCGAACTACTCGTCACGAGTGATACAATCTGAACCGTCTTATAGGATCGTCTCAGGTTGATCGCACGGAGTGTAGCAGCGGAAGATTGCTAGGTAATATCAGGTACGGACTCTGTCAGAAGAAGGAGATTTGAATCTCGACAGAAGTGAATAACACAATGCGGTACTGTGGTTTATATAGGAATACAGTGGAATACGAAAGGTCCTAGCTAGCCATGTATTCTGAGGGGGTACATTCCCCTTAGGGCTAATCTAGATGCAGCATCGCAACCGTGCGGTTCGGTAACCGTACGCGGTCCGGTAACCGTTTGAACATTTCCCGCGCTTTGCACTTCAAATTCTTCCTGCTTGTACCTGTCTCGATAACTGTCTTGTCGCTTGGTCTTTCGTCCTCGCTGCAGTCATTTTCGCGTTAAGGATTTGTTACTCAGGAATGTTTATTCAACTATTCCATATCTCCCCTTCATTCCTGGAGGAGCGAAGTCTTGACGCGATTGGTTATACCGCAGATGTTTCCGCAGTAAAGATACTGCTGACGTGGCAGTTTCTTGGGGAGGAAGTCAGCTGCCATGTCACCAGTGGGGCAGTAAGTCAAGATGACTTTGCCTTTGTCAACTTCATCTTTGACGAAGAAATAGCGGAGTGCGATGTGCTTGGTGCGGTTGACGAAGCCATGTTTGTTCGCGATTTTTATCGCGCTTTGGTTGTCGCAGTGAAGTTTGAAGCTTGCGGATGTCGCGATTTTCGCCTCTTGGAGCAGCTCCTGAAGGTAAAGACCTTCATGAACGGCTGACGTGGCGGTGATGAATTCGGCTTCAGCGGAGGAGAGCGCCACCATTTCTTGCTTCTGGGAATTCCAGGAAATTGGGCCAGTGGGCTCGAGGCAAAAGAGGAAGCCGGTTCGGGACCGTCGATTCGCAGGGTCGGCAGCGTGATCTGCGTCCACGTAGCCAACGAGGCTGAAGGAGCGGGTCGTGAGAGTTGAGTAGGTGAGGCCAATGTGCGGTGTGGAGATGAAATACTGCAGAGCGCGCTGTAAATCCAGCATGTGCTCCCCTTCAGGCCGCTTGGCATACTGAGCGAGTTGGCTCGAGATGTAGGATAAGTCAGGCCTGCATGTGACTGCTGCGAAGAGGAGACAGCCGAGCTGCTGCTGGTACAGTTGGTGACCGGATGGGTTGAGAGGTGTGGTGTTGGGGAGATGCGGGGTGGCCGGGTTGCGGTAAGGAGTTGAGAGGTTGGCCAGTTTGATGTTGAACTTGGTTGCAAGAGTTTCAGCGTACTTGGAAGCGGAGAGATGAATGGCGTCAGCAGAGTAGGAGATGTTGAGGCCCAGAAACTGGGTCACTTGGTTGGTGCTGGTGATTTCGACGCGGTTGCTGAGGTTCTTCTCAAATTGAGCGAGGAGGTCGTTGCTAGTGCCGGTGTAGAGGAGATCGTCAACGTACGCCGTGAGGAGGATATAATCTCCGCGGTAGTGGAGGCGGTACATGCCGGGGTCGTGAGGCAGCTGGATGAAGCCGATGTCGAGCAGGATTTGGTGGAGGTACTGCTGCCAGAGACGTGGTGCCTGCTTGATGCCATAAAGCAATTTGCGGAGCTGACACACTCGATCGTCGCCGTCGCCGTAGGTGTGAGGTTGCTCGACGAAGATGAGGGCATCCACGGGGGCGTAGAGGAAGGCGTTTTTGACGTCAATTTGGCGGGGGGAAGATGTTTTGCTGTTGCAATGGCGAGGAGAATGCGGACGGAGGTGTGGCGGCTGACAGGAGCGAAGGTTTGGTCGAAGTCAACGCCGTGGCATTGATCGAACCCGCGAACAACCCAACGGGCCTTGAAGCGTTCAATGGTGCCGTCGGCAGTGGTTTTGACACGAAAGACCCATTTTCCCGAGAGAACGCATCTCCCCTTCAGGGCAACTCGATCGGCGAGGACCCAGGTGTCGCGAGCTTCAAGCGCGGCGACTTCAGCATCCATTGCGGCTCGCCACTCCTTTGCGTAGGGGCCCGTGAGAGCTTGACGCGGGGTTTTGGGTTCAACTGCTTTGGCCGGGCGGGACACAGCCGTGTGGAGGCCGAGGATGTGTAGGCCAGAAATTCCTGGACTATGGCGCTGATCGCTGGTGACTTCCACCATGTCATCATCGGAGTTGTTGCTGCTGGATGGTGTGGGGCTGAGGAGGGAGTCACGAGAGGAGTCGAGGGGAGCGCCGTCCTCGTCTTCGTCCTCGTCACTCCAGCGGTGTCATCTTCAGGCGTAGCGAAGCTGCGCGGCGGGCGCTCGTAGTCCGCGATGTTATGCTCGCCTCGGACACGGTCAGCATGGCGATCGCACTGGAACTTCCGGATGGAGAGATCTTCGTAGAAGATGACGTTGCGCGCTGCGACGATCTGTGAGGTGTCGTGATCGAGGATGGTCCAGGCGTGATGCTCGAAGCTGATGCCGAGATGCACGCCCCAGCGCGCGCGACGTTCTAACTTCCCCGTGGTCGCTGCTGCGGGTCGATACTGCACCATGCAGCCCCAGACACGGAGCATGGAGATGTCGCCTTGTTTGCCGGTGAACTTGAGGTGAGGCGAGAAGTTGTCGGTGTTGGCAGTGGTGCTGAGCAGGTTGTGTAGACGGACAGCGTGATGCATGGCGTAAGGCCAGTACTTCGCGTCGACGTCGCTCTGCTGCAGGAGGGCGCGCACCTTGGTCATGAGGGTGCGGTTGGTGCGTTCTGCAACTCCTTGCTGGGGGTGTGCGTAGGGGAGGGAGAGCTTGTGAATGATACCCTTCTCCTCCATGAGCTTTTGCATCTTGTCGCTCTTGAACTCGGCTGCGCAGTCAGTTTGCCAGAGCTTGAGGGTGCAGCTTGACTGAGTCTCCGCATTAGCATGCCACACCTTGAAGATTTCATACGCCTTGCTCCTGTGGGAGACATTGGCGACCCAGACGAAGCGAGAGTGAGCGTCGATGAAGGTAAGAGAGCATTCTTCGCCGTTGAGGCCAGTCTGAGTGAGCACGAGGAAGTCGCTGTAAACTTTCTCAAGTTTTTCGTAGCGGTTGGTCCCTGGCTCGAGAAACTTGAAAGGCTGATGTGTGAGGGCAGCTTCTGGGCAGATGTCGCAGTCAGTGCAGCGAGTGGTATTGACTGGGACAGGAGTGCCGTCTGGGCGGAGAAGGGTGCCCGGAAGAAAAACTTGCGCGCGAATGCAGTTGTTAAGAACTTCCTGGGAGGGGTGACCGAGGCGCATGTGCCAGAGGTCTGGTTGTGCGCGCAGAGCGGGTGAGCGTGTGTAAAAGGCGATGAGTTCGGCTATGGCGCGTTCAGTTGGCTGTGGGATGGGCTATGGGGAAATGGAGAGTCCAAGAGAAAGAATTTGTTCACGAGCTGTGGGGGTAGGAGTGATTGTTGTGATGGCTGCGAGTGGTGTTGGGATATCATCTGTGTCTGCAGTTTCCTCTCGGAGGTCTGGGCGTGGCATGTGATGGGGCGGTAAGGCATATGTTGCTGGAGGGCTTGGAGCAGGTGAGTCTGAGGGGCCGATTGGCGTGAATTCAGTGTGAACTGGGCTGCGAGGGTAAGTGTCGTAAGGCAGTATAGTGTCACGGTCGGTGGGGGGCCGCGAGTCTGTGGAGTCTGGGGAGGGGCGTTGAGGAATAGTAAGAGAGCCCCAGGAATCACTGGCTGGTGTGGTGCCTGGGGGAAGGCCGATGGGACGGGGTGATCCATAGGGTCCCCGTGCTTCATCTGCTGCTTCTTGTTCAGCGCGAGCAATGACGTCTTCAATGGGTTCCTCTTCCTCCATCGTTGTAGGTTCCCCCCATCCTATTGCGCTGGGTCCACCTCCCCAACCTGTTGTGCCAGTTCCGCTTCCCCATGCTGCTGCTCCAGTTGCTGCAGTTGCTACCGCCTTTGCTTCCTCGTCCGCGCGGCGACGCCGTTCTTCCTCTTCATGTCGCTGAAACTTTTCGGTGGTCATGGTGCGATGGGACCAGGGATGTTTGACGTGATAGATCTCCCAGGTCATTGGAAGGGGAGTGTTGTCTCCGTCATGTGCGCCAGGTCCCGTGTAGCATGTGAGGAGATCGAGGCGATCATGGACAGTGGGGTCATTTCGAGTTTTGCGCGGTTAGAAGATGGTGAGCGCTGCAGCTAGTTCGGCGTCGCGCATGCCTGCTGGGTGAGGAGTTTGCCATTCCGCTTCCTCGACGATGTCCATGCCAGCGGGCTGTATGACTTGGCCGGCTTCCTCAGATGACTCTGACTTTTCAGTAGTCTGTTCTGAGGATGAGTTCGTGTGTGCTGCTGTGGCTGTGAGGCGTCGTGCTGCAGCAGCTGAAGATTCTCCTTCGTCAGCTGGTGCCATTCCTCTGTTGGGAGGTGGATTGTCTTGGCGTGTGGGTGGCGGAGTTCTGTCTGTCGTTGATGCTGTTGGGGTGCGGCAGTTGCGGCAGAGGCCGTCAGGTCCAGGTGCGTGCAGATCGATCTCCCTTGGGTGAGCGTGATGCTTCCTCCAAGGGCTGCCATCTGGGTGCTTGGGTTTGCGATTCCACACGATATCTTGGGGCTGCAGGTCGATGAGATCTCCTGAATCGAAGCTACAACCAGGGATGTCAAAGTCGATGATGTAAACGCCGTCTTCGGAGTGGGCCTTGCCGATGTATCGCGGTTCGCTGGTTGGCTTGCTGTAGTCCTTCCAATGCATGAGGATGTCCCGCGTCTCTAAGTCTGTTGTCATGAGATCTCCGCTTTGCACGAGTTGATCGTAGGAGAGAAGGTTGTACTGCAGGTCTCGTAAGATGTGAATGTCGCTGTCGTGAGCCTTGAGAACGACGATGTCGCATGCTCGTGCTTGGAGTTGTTGATTGTTAGCCACTGTGACGAC